CTCGCAATTGGGAGAAAAAATAGTCAGAGTTTATTTCTCGCAATTGTGAGTTTATATCACGCAATTCTCACTTTAAAACACACAATTGCCACTTTATATCACGCAATTCTGAGATAAAATGTCGCAATTTCAAGATTTAAACTCGCAATTGTGAGGTAAAAAGTCGCAATTTTAGTTTAACATTGAAATATTACGTTAAGATGTCAACATTTTTCGTCTGGTGTTAACTTAATGATTGAGACATTCTCATTTAATTCATTTCCACAATAAGCAATCTGCTATCAGACAGAGAAACATGAACTGAAAGTTAAGAAATGAGAATGTGCACATCAAATATAAAAGGTTGAACATGTTCTGATCTAAACACACACTCCAGACTGTTTTGTGAAGACGAAGCTATACGAAAACATAGTTAATTTTGTTGTTGGTTGCTATATTGGTATGATATTTTACAATTGCACAAGCAATCTTTGGATTTTCTGAAAGCGCATTAGAAGAAAACTGCATAAACAAATGTTCTGAGAAATTAAAATTTGATAGGAAAATAGCTTTAGAGAGAGCCTCAGTGGGCGAGAGAGAGAGAGCGAGCCTCAGAGTGGGCGAGAGAGAGAGAGAGAGAAATGGAAGGATGTTAAAGTGAGTGATTTGGGTTGGCAGGGTTCTGGTGGAGGAGTGTGGTGGTTCTGAAGTCCTCCAGAAAGAGGCGCCAGTGTGTCCGGCAGGGGCCCTGACCATGAGGCCACAACACCCCCCTAAACTCACCCGCTGGCACCGCATGCTTCTTTAATATCCAGCAGAAATTGAAATATCTTTGTGGGTTAACAACACACAAACTCACTCACACATACACACACAAGAGTGCGCCCTCCCTCATGCATATAACCTGATACACACATGCACACACTCAGACACAACTGTTTGGCATCATGCACGCTGTTGCGCGCACACACAAGCATGCATTTACGCGTGTTCACCACCAAAAATAAATATATAAACTGAAATCATCTCATTCTCTCATTTAAAGCCAAGAGTGGTTAGAGAGACATTTTAACATGATGTTACAGCACGTAATGGGAGTATGAAAAATGCTCAACGCTGCACAAAGCAGTTTGGCTTCTAATAGCAAGACTGACTTTAAACAACTGCAACGCTTGACCTAATGTGCCGCGTTACGCTGGTCGGAAGCCTTCCTCTTTGTGTTTATTTGAGTGTCGGTACTGCAAAAATATACTTTGCTTGTGAGGAGACCATCTTCATTCAGTCTGTTAAACGGTTCTAGTTCAACAAACAAAACATGAGGCGTAACGCATCACAGGGATGAAACACTGAGAACCTATTTGTAGTCTTCTATTTTATAGAGTAAGTTTAAATTACGCAAACATTTACAAAAAAGTGCCAAGAGTATAATAAAAACAAAACCAGGGTTTTCAACCAAGCATCCATCCATTGACCCCTGGAGGTCAGAGGTATAAAACTTTTTAATGTTCAGTTTTATAACATGTAAATGTAAAACACTATTTCCTGAAACTATGGCTGAGCGACATGATTTATCTTTTCTTTTCAGTGTCACTATTGTAAACTAAAACTAGAATCATTAATAAGACTTTTTTTTACTTGAAATAAAATAAACATAAACTGAAATAAAATAAATGATAAAAACAGAAACTCATTTTATAAACATTTCTCATTTTTGTTTAGTTTAACTTGAAGAACTAAAATAATGATTACTAATACTGAAACAAAACATTCATAAAACTACGGTAAGACGTGTAAAAAACTAAACACAACAAATTACTTGTGCTGTCAAATCGAATAATCGTGATTAATCGCATCTAACATAAAAGTTTGTAAAGATATGTATAGGCTATATACTGTGTATATATATATATATATATATATATATATACACACACACATATATATATATATACAAATACACCTATATTATGTTAGATGTGATTAATCACGATTAATCGATTTGACAGCACTACAAAATACTAGTAGTATTACATAGAAATTTGTAGCTAAATTTAATATGAAAATATAAAAAAAATTATATCAATGATAAATATTTCCATTCCACCCAGTCAAAAATGATGTTTTGTTTCCTCTTTAAGAAGATTTTGTCTCCTGCATGTCAAGACTCATGTGTGTTGTTGAGGGACGTGCTGAAATTAACACGAGGCTCGTCCTGCAGTTAGTGTGAGCCCATAATGACGCTGATCATTACAGATGAGAATTCCCTTAAACAGCCTGGGTTTGGATCCGGAATGATCCACTCCATCTCGAGAGCCACCAACCGCCACTGCCGCCAAAAATAACACGGCAGCGCCACTCCAGCCCGCGCCTCACCACAGAAGGGCCCGCCACAAGAGCCGGGATCAAAACACACACAAAAAAGGAAACACAGCATATTGGGGGAAGGAAAAAATTGTTCATATAACTTTACTCGACTTCTTATAAGATACACAGAATCTGCTGATGATTTTGGCTCCTGGTGAAGCCACAAAATCGAATCTACAGACGGGGCCAAGGCTGCAGAGAATGTGTGTGTGTGTGTGTGTGTGTGTGTGTGTTTTGAGCTCAATGGAGATTTGATGAAATAAATTGCCTGCAGTGGTGGTTCATAGTAAAGTCATTCAGCAATGGCAATTACATTAATATTTCAGACGGCAGTGAACAGCTCATCAAATGCTCAGATTAAAGCTTGATAAATGAGATGGTATGGCACTGTTAGTGAAGGAATCGTTTATACATGGATACAGGAGCTCATTGCAAAGAAATGTTATCATTCTAGCTAATGCACACATGCATGATTAAACCCTTTTACGTTAACTAACTCCCTTTAGACTAGTATTGGTAGACTGTTGTTGGTAATTGTTAGTAGAATAAGTTGACATGTACTTCAAAATAAAGTGTTAGCAGATATTAAGCAGACAGTCTACTAATACTCTAATGACTGCTAGTTGACATGTAGTTGCAAAGTTATTTATAGTTAGTGTTAGTGTCTATACTATGTTGAAATCAAGTGTTACCCACATTATAACTTCAAATGCGATTCAGTAGAGCTTACAAAATGATTGTAAAGAATTATGTTTAATTAAACGTTTAATTGTTTAATTAAGCAGGCAGATTTTTATTTCTATTTGAGCACCACATTGTAGTAAGATTAAATAATGGCCAACAATAAATGGTTTAGCAGTCATTTTCTATGAAGGCATAACTTCAAATGGGATTCAGTAGAGCTTACAAAATGATTGTAAAGGATTGTTTAATTAAACGTTTAATTATTTAATCAAGCATGGTTAGATTTGTATTTCTATTTGAGCACCACATTGTAGTAAGATTAAATAATGGCCAACAATAAATGGTTTAGCAGTCATTTTCTATGAAGGCAGATCATGATGAAACACAATGCTGCCCCACTGAGGAGACATGGGAGCTGCACATAAACAGAGAGAAACAGAGAACAAAAGAAACGACAAAAACTTTACTTTAAACCATAAATATCTAAAATATACAATAAAAAAATAGATTGTACATTTTCTGAAGAAAATCTGCAACCTCGTGCAAAAATAACATTATGCAAGTGTTTTGTTGTTGTGATTGGCTAAGATGTTGCTATATTCTGGCTGAAGCAGTTTTAGCGCGTTTCTAAACGGTGTTTGGAGTGTTCTGATTGGTTTTTAGCGTTGCTGTACGGTTGTTGGGGTGTTCTGATTGGTTTTTAGCGTTGCTGTGCAGTTGTTGGGGTTTTCTGATTGGCTTTTAGCGTTGCTATGAGGTTACTATGATGTTGTAGTCGCTCAGTGACTGGTTGTTGGGGTTGTTCACCTTTATCAAAGAGAATAGAAGAACGATATAATATACGTTCTTTGCCTTTATTAGACAAAAAAAAGTTTCTACAGTATGACGTGGTTATGATCGATCCATTTTCTAATATGTGAATGGGATTTTCCCACCATTTTATTTTGTATGTACGGCAAGGTAAAAGTTAAATAGGATACTTAGGCTCAGGGCAGGGGTGTTTAAATAATTAATTATGTGCATCGGCGCTTAGTAAACTTCATTAGGCTACTTACACATTACGTTTGGTTTAGCAAGAACTTTGCATCAACTAAATATAAAAAACATTGATTTAATAACATGGGACAAAAGAGAGTTTTGTAAACTGTGCAAAGCTGATGTTGATTTTTTGTCCATTTATGAGCAAATAATTGTTTCTCCTCTAGGTGGAGCCATAGATATGTATTTGGTAACCAGTTGGGTTTATATCAAAAGTTACAGAAAAAATAAATGTAAAATTCAATATTTCAGTTAATATATAAATTATATCATTTTGATTCATTTTAGGATCAAATGATATTGGTAATAAAGATAAATATCTCTTTGGTTGTTAGTAATGGATTTTTGTTTTGTTTCAAAATTGTGTAACATTAACATTAAAATTGCGATGTAAATGCATTTATGCCACTTCTGAGGAGCATTAATCAATCTGTGTAAATATAACTAATTGCCACTTTAGAAGCGCTTTGTACCACCTTGCCATTAGTTTAATTATTTATTAATACAATTATTGTATTGATTTGAATGTGGTTCAAAGGAGGATTTGTCTTTATGAGGTTTCCAGCACCTCCTGGAGGAATGCAGGAGTCAGCAAAGCTTTATAATATTGTCTATGCATATAATATAAAGGAACTACAGTGGGTACAGCAAAAATACATAAGGTTTAAGTAAATAAAAAATATTAAGGATGCGAGGGTGAATAAAAGAAAGAAACAATGTAAATGAATAGATAAACAAATAAATAAATGGGGATTCATATTATATAATATTAAATATGTTGTCGTTATAATTTTTCGCGCCATGGGAGGGATTGGCCTACATTTAAACATTGATTTAACCACAGCTATTAATCTCTTCGCTTTGACCTCCGATTGGCTGTGTTCCTCCGCGCTGAGACACGTGACTGGACAGTGAGTAGACCGCTGAGCGTCTGTCTGCCTGCGCGTGACGTGATGCACTACTTTCAGTCAACCGCCTAATTTATGTATTAAATCGTTTGGAAGATGGGGTTGCGATGTTAAAAGAGGAATAACAGCGAAACGTTTGCGCAGTTGCAGTGATGGTTTAATAACACGCGCTCTGTGGGATATAATCCGCGGTTTAAAGCTCGTGTTTGTGGTCAGCTCGCGCTTGTTTGATGGCGTGCTAGTTTATCTAGTCAGTGACTAAATAAATATTCGATATAGCTCTATCCCGAGGACATCACACACTAACAAACATGTGTTTGTACTACAGTGTCAGACAGAGTAAATCGGTGTAAACGCGACTGTATTGTGGAGATCAGGGCAGAATGGCACCGTGGTGGATCACGTTCATCGCTTTACTGTGGGGTGAGTCCAACCTGCTCATGTTTAATGTCCATTTGCTCCATATAATCCCAAATCAATCTTCCAATAACAATAAGATCATTATGGAAATTGCATCTTAACGCGCATTTTTGACATTCACCATGGGGGAATATTCATGGACTAATATTAATGTTCCACGTAGCAGCTAAATAATTGAGTACCCGAATCTGGTATTTCAGTGTAAGTACCATGGTAAATACAATGCTGTATACCGTGGTATTCCGTGAAGTACTTTAGAGTAGCGTGCAAATACCGCGGTATAATAATATGGTAATCATTCAGAACTATATTGAATGTTTTTTTGGCTATGTTTTATAATATGTAATACACATACATAAGTGTATCATATGGTACTACCATCTTTTTTTGTTTCTATTTACCTCTACTGTTTTTTTTACATGTAAATATTTGGAAGATACTTTTATTCAAGGTATATATTTTTATCAGTTCATGCATTTCCTGGGAATCAAACCCACAACTTTACATACATTTTTCGGTGTATGTAAATACATTTGTGTTATGGTCATTCACGACCATATATGAACTTTGGAATTACCATCTAATACATTGCTTTTTGTGTTCAGGCTGACCAGTGTCCAGTTTAATTTCAATACAAATATTCGAAAGACTTTGTACCGATTGGCGCTGAATTATCACAGGAGCTTAAAACAATGTTTTCTACAGTTCTGTGATCTCTTCATTTCCACTTAGCAGCATAATAATGACATCATAATGTATGGTATAAGCTGTGCAGGATTTCCACTGGCAGGCCTGCTGCTCCGGTTGCGCTTTAATTACTGTCTGATCCGCTTAAAGCTTCTGTTCTTTGGTCATCATTGGAGTGTGTGTGTGGTCACTTCCCATGAGTCACCGAAACTAGACTGACTTGCCAGAAGAGCCTGATGCAAGGCAAAAAAACCTTACAGAAATGACCATATAGTAAAAAAAAAAACACAGTTATAGTTATTGTCATAACATTAAACCAGAAATATATCTTTAAAAGAAATGATTCTGAAGCTTACTAAATTAAAATGCTCTTTTCTTTAAATAGTGTATACAAGTACAAGTTACTAATACTATTGCCATAGTAGTTGTAGTAACGTGACATGTCAAGCGCTGTCAGAGACTAATACTATGGAATTTTGGTATAAACTAGTTTACGGTAATTTTTTGTGAGGGGAAACCTGTCATCAACACCTGTCTTGTTTTGTCAGGTTGTGTTTAAACAGTACAGGTGACATTTATGTCAACACTCAACCGCATTACAATATAACACTAGTTTATCTGATCTTGTTTACATATCTGAGTGAGTCACACGGTGAGCTGATAAACTGTGGCAATAGTTTTGCATTGTATTCAGAAGTTTACCTTTTGCTACCTGCATGTAAAATCCAAAATCACATCTAAAATTCCCTTTTTATTTTATTAGTTAAAAGTAATGATTTCAAATAAACAAATTATTTTTGTAAAAAGATGAGTGAAGAAAAAAATGCTTTAGATGTAATTTAACAGTGTAAAGCTCGACATATAAAATGTAATCGTTAGAAAAATCTAAAACAAAAATGTATATTTTAAAATCTAAAATAAAGCAAAAATATGCAATGCTGCAAATGCTGATATTTATGTGGACAAAAAGTAAGAAGATGCTTGTAATGTAATTCACTGAGATCTTTATAACTTGCAAATAATATAAATAACATCAATATCTGTCTTAGTAAGATAATGCTTAGTTTATGATGAAAGCTCTGTAGTTTTAAAACATATAATGCAATACAATGATGATTGAGAGATGAACAATTCAACCTTTCTAAAAAGCCTGTATTTGATACTCATGATCTTTCTAAGTAATAACATGGATAATCAAAAGTCTCTTCCGTCCAATTAAAATATTAATAATATCAAAGTTATTCTTATGTTTGCTAGGTAAAATTCAGTAAAGATTTCAGATCGAAAGACACGTTAAGCACGAGCTGAAAGTGGATGTTTGTACAATTAAACTAAAAGACTTTTACTTGCTAAAACAGTCTAAACTGTCAATCAGAGACAGAAGGACTGGAGGAGATCGACAGGTTTATCAGATCATCTTGATCATTTAGAGGCTTTAGAAATTCATACATCAAAAGGTGAGACAGGAGGCTTTATAAGGATACGAGTTCAGTCTGGTTTAGTTCCTTTAGGTGTGTAAATATAACCTCAGGTCTGCATAGGAAAATGACTCAAAAGATGAGTTCAGTCGTGACATCAGAGGTTGTAAAACATGGGCGTAGTCTGGCAGAATTACTGTTCGTTATGTAGACCCTTTTATTCAGAGACGCATTACAACACACACACATGGAGGGCGTGGGAACTAAACAGAGCGGGCATGATTCGTGAATAAACATTACTAACTCCCGGGTCTGAATATGGGTCGATGAGAGTGCCGAGACCACGTTAGCTGATTATTAATGAGATGCAAAACTAAATCAGTGAATAATATATAGGGATGGGACGATTACCGGTTTCACGATAAACCACGATAAAATGTCCTGGCGGTTAGTATTATCGTTTAAAATTTAATTATCATAAAAACCGTGTTTGATTATCGTGATTTTGAACACTCGCGGTAAATCCTGTCCAGCCAGAATCAGTCTGACGCAAGCGCGAGCAGGCGCGCAGATGCAATGTTGTTTTTTTGCGCGAGAAGACATGGCGGAAGGCAGTGACAGCGCACGGGAGATTTTTCAGCCATCCAAGAGGACAAAATCGGAGGTATGGTCGTATTTTGGCTATTACAAGAGTCCCGAGGGCAATTTAATCGAGGATGGGCACCCTGTCTGCAAATCTTGCAAGAGGAAAGTCGCTGCAAAAGGGGGAAACACGTCAAATCTGCTAAGTCATCTAACGTTACGTGACAACCACTTAATCAGTTAATTTTTACCTTAATACCACAACTAACTTGGGCAAATAATTAGACAAAAAATTTATTGGAGATTAATTATTTCATTATCTCACTTGTAATTATTGCAAAGCTTCCGCGAAGAGAAAAGTTTTACAGCAAGTGGATTTGAGCCAAGACGAACGAACATATTCAAACTATTAAGGGTGACATTTAAGGGATAATGTATTGTATTCATTCATAGTAAACTTATTACAGTTTTATTTTTTACCACAGAAATAATTTCAGGGACATGAAATATTGAATTGTGATTAACTTAATGTTTTAAGTTATACATTTATAAATCCGGTTTATAAATCCATTATACAAGTTACAGTGTCCAAATCAATCGTAAAGTAAATGTGATCACTACAACAATATTGTAGTAGTATTAATACTAAATTACTCTGATTTAATTTTCAATACAATCAAAACTGAGACGCAAGACATACACATTTGAATGAAACCAGAGATTGCGTCCGCGGTGATCCGAGACATGGATGTGCGCTGTGTAGTGCGTTGCTATTTACAACAGTCATTATAAGTATGCCAGTAGTTTAGTCACCCTGACACAACCAACATATTTTGTTCATTTAATGTGTGTGTGTGTGCGTGCGTGTGTGTGTGTGTGTGTGTGTGTGTGAGAGAGAGAGAGAGAAAGTGATTTATTATTTATTAATAATAATAATAATATTCAGTCACACACATCCAGAAGTGTTATTATCATTATTAATGATAGGGTTAAATGACGGGTTCATTAAAACCTGCACTAGGAAAACTTATACCTCTCACTCTCAGGGCTCCATGTTAATGTTAATATAATGTTGATGCTTAAAAAAGTGCATATTACTGCTAATTGTATTTTTTGTTTGTTGATTTTCAAATGTTTTCAGGGTGAGCATCAGTTCTTTTTGAACATTTCCATCTCATTTTAACAAAACCGTGATAATATTGATAATCGTGATAACTTTGGTCACTATAATCGTGATATGAAATTTTCATACCGTCCCATCCCTAATAATATATCTGTATCACACAGTAGCATTTATTTTAATTCTCCTGAATCAGCAGGTATTTGACATCACTGTCATGCAGTGTTATTTTATTATTATTCAATACTATTATTTTAGTCAAGTCAAGTCAAGTCATCTTCATTTATATAGCGCTTTTAACAATGGATTGTTTCAAAGCAGCTTTACAGAGAAAAACATATAATTTAAGGTAACAGATTGTTTTGGCATTATAGCGGTTCTTGAATAATGTTACTTCCAGCTAAAGTTAACTTTGATTGATTCACCTCCGTCGAAATGATCAGACTTTAAATGCGAACCTGTGATTAACGCTGATGGCGTTCACATGCTCATTCAGAATTCTATAGTTATGTGCTTTTTAAAATATGTGCGCAGGTTTGTAATTCATACAACCCATGCCTAAACAAACTACTTTTCTTGCCTATAAATTTTGATACAGAATTTTGTTTTATTTTATCACTTCGGGGTACGCGAGCCGGAATTCACAACGCTTTATCTGTAGAGTGGGAAAGGGATCCTCTATAGGGAGAGGATAGTGGATACTTCAGCACTGCATTGTCATCGGGTCCAGGCAAAGCTCCCTCGTCAGATCTAGACACGGCCTGGATCCGGCAGGCTGCGGGAAAACCTCGGGATAAACAAAGACACTAATATTAGCGTAGATGCCATTCTTCTTATGATGTAGCGAGTACATCAAGATTTAAGGGAAGTGTTCCCAGTTCCGGCTGACCTAATCTATGCAGCCTAACATTGAATTTATAGAAGTCTATAATGTATTATGTGTATGCTAGGTCAAAGAGATGTGTTTTTAGTCTAGCTTTGAACTGACAGAGTGTGTCTGCTTCACGGACAATGGTAGGAAGACTGTTCCAAAGTTTTGGTGCTAAATAGGAAAAGGATCTCCCGCCTGCAGTCGATTTAGATATTCTAGGTATTATCAACTGGCCGGAATTTTGAGATCGCAATAGACGTGACGGACTATAATGCGTTAAGAGCTCGCTCAAGTACTGCGGAGCTAAACCATTTAGTGCTTTGTAGGTAGGCTAATCAACAATATTTTAAAATTTATACGATGTTTAATAGGGAGCCAATGCAGTGTTGACAGAACCGGGCTAATATGGTCATATTTCCTGGTTCTGGTAAGAACTCGAGCTGCGGCGTTTTGAACTAGCTGTAGTTTGTTTATTAAGCCTGCAGGGCAACCACCCAGTAGAGCATTACAATAATCTAGCCTTGAGGTCATGAACGCATGGACTAATTGTTCCGCATTTCCCAATGAGAGCATATGGCGTATTTTAGATATATTTTTAAGATGGAAAAATGCAGTTTTACAGATACTAGACACGTGGCTTTCAAAAGAAAGGTTGGTATTAGTTGGTAAAGGTTGGTAAAGTTTTAGTAACACTTTGTTTCGATGCCCCACAAACATTCTTCTAACTATAAGAAACTGCAACTAACAGTTATAGAGGATTATTAGACTGTTTGCTAACACTTTATTTTGATGCTCCACCAACAGATATTCTACTGACTATAAGTAACTTTGCAATTACATACTAGAGATCGACCGATAATCGGTTTTACCGATATTTGACCCGATATTTAAGGAAGGAAGTGAAATTGCAGAAATGACAGTAGCCTATTTAAAAAGTGTTAAATATAACAGTTTGTTCAGTTCAGTGCTGTTGTTATAATTGTCAAAAACAGAAATAAACCAGTAAATAGGCTAAATATCGGTTATCGGGCACATAAAAATGCAAATAATTGGTATCGGTTATAAAAAAAAATATATCGGTCGATCTCTGCTATACTTAGCCTACTAACCAGAGCTCTAACCTAACAGTCTACTAATAGTCTCATGCAGCTTTAAGTTAACGGTTATTTTATTTCAAGTAAAACTTTTTTTAATGGTTTTAGTTAATTATTATAACCCTGTTGTCATGGTGCCCCTCATTTAAGTGGGAATATTGTGCAGTGGGTCTGTCATGAACTGTTTGAACCTTTTCATAGTTCCTAGAACTATTGGCGGAAGTTCCCGGTTTTTGGCGTGTTCGCACCGCAGGAACTAGCAACGATTTTAGTTCTAGGAACTCCTTTTGGAGGAACTACTTTATCTCCTACTTCAGAGTCGGGTCTAAACCAGCACTATATGAACTACAGTGACGTTAGTGAACGCTGATTGGCCGAATGCACACGAAACACCAGCACCCGCCATTTAAAACAAAAAAGGCTGTGTAACACACAGATTATAGACTATATTTTTACTCCAGAAACTAACTCAACGAACATGTGAAACAGTGATAGAAGGACCTCTTCACCTTTACGCTGAGGAGAAAATCCAACGCGACTTTGAGGGGACCAAGAGAAACATGATTATCTATTTCTGCTCAGCAACACTGGACATCAACCACACGGCATACGCTAAAAACTTTTCATTACTGTCTACTTTCTATGTATAACAGTTCTATCTAATAATGTATTAGACAGGACTGTTAGACAGATCGTAAACTAATGAACACGGAGAATGCGAGCGCTGTCAGCTCAGGCGTTCTCCGCGCCGTCAAAATAAAAGTCCCAACAACAAGCGCGGGTTACGTCACTTCAGAGTTCGTACTGGCGGTGCGAATGCAACCAGGAAAATTTTGCAAGGGAACCATTAGTTCTCGGGGAACCCCCCTGGTGGCTACTTCCTATAACTAAGTTCATAAACTATTAGTGCTGCCGCGATTAGTCGACATAATCGACCATGCAAATTAGGAATGCGGGTCAATATATATATATATATATATATATTTTTTTTTTTAAATTAATTTTGTGCTATTATGCGCAGCTGAGTGAACAACACAGGTGCGTGTGTCGCATAAGGTGGCCTTCTGCTGCTTGCAAACGGACTCTTTTGAGGAGACTCTTTTCCAAATTTGTTGCCCTGATTCCACGCGCTAAGCGCGAATACGCTGCAGACTCGCTCTCGCTCGTATCCAAGGTAAATCATCAACACCATCATCCCTTACATGTGTTTTATTTAACTACATACATAATCAGCTAAAACGCGCACCCGAGTCCGTGTTGCTTTCACATTCACGCGAACCGTGGCACGGGTCCAGCATGCACGCAAGTGTAAACGCAAGCTGCATATCTGCGTGGCTACCTGCTTTCAGCGCGATTCATTATAAGGCAGAGCTAAGCGTAGTAGGCTAGTCCAGACTCTTTCAATTCAATTCCAATTTATTTGTATAGCGCTTTTCACAATACATATGTTTTATATATATATATATATATATATATATATTGTATAGCGCTTTTCACAATACATGTTTCAAAGCAGCTTTACCTAAAATGCATGCATTGCATCTACTTTAGCCTACAATTCAGAGTGATGTTATCAGTTATGCATTTCAGAAATGTACATATAAAAATGTACAGTAAGCTAATGTATTAATTTAAGGCAGAACAAAGAGCTAATTTAAGTAATGAATACATGTTTGTTAATAGAGGATTAGATTAGGACTCTGACTAATATGGTATAGCCTAATGGAAATGCAGATACTTATGCTTAGATTGTTAATACATAATGTTTTTCAACAGGTGACATTTTATATTTTGGCCCTTCAGTGGAGTTCGAAATAAAATGGACACAACGAAATGACAAACAATGTTTGTTTGTTTGTTTTAAATTAGTCGTTTAGATTAGTCGACTAATCGAAAAATTTGTCGAAAGATTAGTCGCTAGAAAATTAGTCGTTAGTGGCAGCACTAATAACTATCCGGTGCGAAAGCCCCTATTTACTGACCTCATTCGGAAAACAGCTTTGCATGCATTGATCCCAGTGGTGGTTAATATTCAAACTGTCCATGCCACACATATTTACTTCTTGTCTCTGTTTCTTTTGGTTGTGTGTTAGAGTTGCAGTGGTGTGTGTGCCGTGAGGTCACTCTTCCCGCCGGTCCGCTGTACCGGGTCGCCGGTTTCTCGCTGTCTCTGCCCTGCACAGTTTCGGGATATGAAGGCCCGCGGACGCAGGAGTTCGAGTGGTACCTGTACCGGGAGGATGCTGGGGGTCGGCAGATCGGTGTGGTGTCCACGCGAGACACTGGGTTTCCGTACGCGCCGTTCCAGGGTCGTGTGCAGGCGGGTGAGGTTCGGGTCGAGAGGGACTCGGGCGATAAAGCCAGACTGATAATCCAGAGGCTTCGTCCAGATGATCAGGGCCGTTACGAGTGTTACACTCCCAGCACTGACTCGCGCTTCCTGGGGAACTACAGTTCGTCAGTGGAAGTCAAAGGTAGGTGGTGTATCAGAAAACTATTTTATTTTTAGTTACTATTTTAGGATGCCTAATAACAGCTGGCAAGGGGACTGCCGATGAAAACTAGCCTGTGGCTAACTCGGGTACACTTACATTTGTTCTGAATGTTGATCAGTGTACATTGTCCCTTTTCAAAAAAACAAAAAAACAAAAAACAGATGGGTTGATGATGGGATTGTAACGATGCCCTCATGTAACGATGCCCTCATGTCACGATTCGATACTGAACTCACAATACGATATTTATTGCGATACTCCAAGACATGGTAAAAGGTTAACAAACAATATACTCTTGATTAAAATGCTAAATTTGGTGTTACATTGTGTGTGTAAATGAATAGGCTTGGACTTGGTGCTGGAAACCCAAAGCACAGGACAATAGAGACACCAGAATAACAATATCCATGATTCCGCCCCCAATCAGACCTCAGGAACCGCCCCAAATACCGCAATAACTAATCAGACCTCAGGAACCGCCCCCAGTCAGACCTCAGGAACCACCCCAAATACCGCAATAACCAATCAGACCTCAGGAACCGCCCCAAATACCAGACCTCAGGAACCGCCCCCAGTCAGACCTCAGGAACCGCCCCAAATACCGCAATAACTAATCAGACCTCAGGAACCGCCCCCAGTCAGACCTCAGGAACCACCCCAAATACCGCAATAACCAATCAGACCTCAGGAACCGCCCCAAATACCAGACCTCAGGAACCGCCCCAAATACCGCAATAACCAATCAACCTCAGGAACCGCCCCAAATACCGCAATAACCAATCAACCTCAGGAACCGCCCCAAATACCGCAATAACCAATCAGACCTCAGGAACCGCCCCAAATACCGCAATAACCAATCAGACCTCAGGAACCGCCCCAAATACCGCAATAACAATCAGACCTCAGGAACCGCCCCAAATACCGCAATAACCAATCAGACCTCAGGAACCGCCCCCAATCAGACCTCAGGAACCGCCCCAAATACCGCAGGAACCGCCCCAAATACCGCAATAACCAATCAGACCTCAGGAACCGCCCCCAATCAGACCTCAGGAACCGCCCCCAATCAGACCTCAGGAACCGCCCCAAATACCGCAGGAACCGCCCCAAATACCGCAATAACCAATCAGACCTCAGGAACCGCCCCCAATCAGACCTCAGAAACCGCCCCCAATCAGACCTCAGAAACCGCCCCCAATCAGACCTCAGGAACCGCCCCAAATACAGCAATAACCAATCAGACCTCAGGAACCGCCCCCAATCAGACCTCAGGAACCGCCCCAAATACTGCAATAACTAATCAGACCTCAGGAACCGCCCCCAGTCAGACCTCAGGAACCGCCCCAAATACTGCAATAACTAATCAGACCTCAGGAACCGCCCCCAATCAGACCTCAGGAACCGCCCCAAATACAGCAATAACCAATCAGACCTCAGGAACCGCCCAGGAACCGCCCAATAACCAATCAGACCTCAGGAACCGCCCCAAATACAGCAATAACCAATCAGAAAAAAAGAGAAATATATTTTTTAAAGTCAGGGCTATCATCATTTTCATGATCGATCGTCGCTGTCACGAACAAGTACTCGATCACTCTTGCCCATCCCTAAAACCGGTCTTTTAATTTGTACTGATATTACACAATTTTACTGTATTTTTGATCAAATAAATGTAGCCTTGGTGAGCAGAAGAGACTAGGGATGGGCATTTTTCAAAAATATTGTATTTGAATTAGGGATGGGACGGTATGAAAATTTCATATCACGATTATAGTGACCAAAGTTATCACGATTATCAATATTATCACGGTTTTGTTAAAATGAGATGGAAATGTTCAAAAAGAACTGATGCTCACCCTGAAAACATTTGAAAATCAACAAACAAAAAATACAATTAGCAGTAATATGCACTTTTTTAAGCATCAACATTATATTAACATTAACATGGAGCCCTGAGAGTGAGAGGTATAAGTTTTCCTAGTGCAGGTTTTAATGAACCCGTCATTTAACCCTATCATTAATAATGATAATAACACTTCTGGATGTGTGTGACTGAATATTATTATTATTATTAATAAATAATAAATCACTTTCTCTCTCTCTCTCTCACACACACACACACACACACACACACGCACGCACACACACACACATTAAATGAACAAAATATGTTGGTTGTGTCAGGGTGACTAAACTACTGGCATACTTATAATGACTGTTGTAAATAGCAACGCACTACACAGCGCACATCCATGTCTCGGATCACCGCGGACGCAATCTCTGGTTTCATTCAAATGTGTATGTCTTGCGTCTCAGTTTTGATTGTATTGAAAATTAAATCAGAGTAATTTAGTATTAATACTACTACAATATTGTTGTAGTGATCACATTTACTTTACGATTGATTTGGACACTGTAACTTGTATAATGGATTTATAAACCGGATTTATAAATGTATAACTTAAAACATTAAGTTAATCACAATTCAATATTTCATGTCCCTGAAATTATTTCTGTGGTAAAAAATAAAACTGTAATAAGTTTACTATGAATGAATACAATACATTATCCCTTAAATGTCACCCTTAATAGTTTGAATATGTTCGTTCGTCTTGGCTCAAATCCACTTGCTGTAAAACTTTTCTCTTCGCGGAAGCTTTGCAATAATTACAAGTGAGATAATGAAATAATTAATCTCCAATAAATTTTTTGTCTAATTATTTGCCCAAGTTAGTTGTGGTATTAAGGTAAAAATTAACTGATTAAGTGGTTGTCACGTAACGTTAGATGACTTAGCAGATTTGACGTGTTTCCCCCTTTTGCAGCGACTTTCCTCTTGCAAGATTTGCAGACAGGGTGCCCATCCTCGATTAAATTGCCCTCGGGACTCTTGTAATAGCCAAAATACGACCATACCTCCGATTTTGTCCTCTTGGATGGCTGAAAAATCTCCCGTGCGCTGTCACTGCCTTCCGCCATGTCTTCTCGCGCAAAAAAACAACATTGCATCTGCGCGCCTGCTCGCGCTTGCGTCAGACTGATTCTGGCTGGACAGGATTTACCGCGAGTGTTCAAAATCACGATAATCAAACACGGTTTTTATGATAATTAAATTTTAAACGATAATACTAACCGCCAGGACATTTTATCGTGGTTTATCGTGAAACCGGTAATCGTCCCATCCCTAATTTGAATATTGGGGTTCATAAAAATCGAATATTCGTTTTTTGAAATGTCGTTTAACAAGAAATACGTTAAGTTTAAGTTTTTTTTAACGTTTTTGTCACCATTTCTGAACAAGCTTACATTAGGCAATATACACAACAAGCTTACTATATATCTTAAGGTTTTCTTTTCTTTGAAAACATTAAACAATATATGTAAACCAAAAATATAAAGAACAAAAGCATTTACGCTCAAGCATGCTCCACAGCGCCACCCAGTGGATTTAATTATAACTGCCTTTTTTTTTTTTCAAATAATAATTACAGATCGAATATTCGAATAAAATTTGAATTTGCACATCCCTAGACTCTTTCAAAAAAATATTTGTTTCCAAACTTTTGACAGGTACTGTATATTAAACATGAAATGTGTTTATACATATTAAGAAATATGTTTCTTATTTCTGCAGTCATTCCAGATACGCTGCTGATAACACACTCGCGGATTCTGAGCGGCCAGCCTGTAACCGAAGGCACGGAGCTTCAGCTCACATGCGCAGCGTCAGTCCAGTCGGATCAGCACACTCATGTTTCCGTCACGTTCGGCGTGCGAAGCAGCGGGGGGGCGGAGTCTCAGGGTCACAACCTGAGGGAAATAATCGCCATCGACCGCGAGCTGCGCGTCACTCCGGGCCACAGCGGCGGATACGGGAAGAGATACAGAGATGGAGAGATCGCTCTGGAAAAGCGTAAAGGGGACGGAGCCAGGGATCTGTACGTGATGAAGATGAGCGCTCTCGCCCCGGAGGATTCTGGGTCGTATTTCTGCGAGGCTGTGCAGTGGATCAGAGATCCGGATGGCAAATGGGAACGCATCGCGCAGAGGACCATGGAGCTCGGGAATCTCACCGTTCAACCACTTGGTTAGTAGCAACCTCTCTTATTTAAGCTATTCGTTTACGTAAAACTTCTTAAAGTCCCCCTGGAGTCAATGATTTTATCTCTTAAAACTCATCTTTAATCACCAAAATTACATATTTAATTTTTTTTCCTTAAAAATAAAATCTTCATGGCTTAAAATATCTTGAATGTAACTCGACGACACCCTCGCCTCATTTAGTATACGCGGTTCTATGAATATGCAAATGAGCCCCGCCTCCACTCACTCAGCTCAGAGATCCACTGGTTGACGATCACACGTTGATCTGATTGGTTACAAGGTCGTTTGTGACGTCAGAAACACCAGCGATTTCAAACCGTGTTTTTGAGACTGTCTTTGGTTCACTGCAGTTTTAAGGAGGAAATACTCAGCAATGCTGTCGACTTATGAACTTACACATGGTTTGTCTTAAAGCGTATTACATACACACATAAACAACATTAAACGCTGGATTTTCAAGCTTTAAAGGCCTTAAAGACCCAAAAGAAATGGTTTTCTTGGACGTATTTCCTATTGAAACAGGAATCTGAGGCTGGTCATATTGAAGAATGGTGAAATAATTGCGTTCTTCCAACATGTTCTGTGAGCGATTGCTCATTAAAAGACTTGCCATTTAATGTAGGTTAATATAATAAATGTAGTTTTGTTAAATGAAAGTACAACTAAAGATTTAAAGGAGTCATAACCTGTAATTTTCACTTTTCCACGAGAATCAATGTATGTTATGATTGCCTAACGATTATACATTGGCCGGGAAGCCGATATTCAAAAGTGAAGCGTTTGTTTACCCCAGGGTTCGTAAACCAGCCCACGTGCACGCGCACTCAAATACGAGATTTTAATTTCTCCCCCGACTTGACGTCAAGACGGGGCAGGGTATACCATATATGGACACCGCAGAGGAGGCCCGCCCTGCCCCTCTCCCACTCATATTCAGTCAAGAAAGATGCAGAAATGTAGTGCACACGTGAGTTGCTCTGTGGTTGACTGCCAGAATCAACATTCAAATGTGTTTTCTCTACCAAAAACGGACCAAACTACTAGGGACCAGTGGATGAAATTCATTTTTAATGACGCTGTTCCAACAACCCTATCAACTGGCTCAACGTTAGGTGTCTGCGCTAAACATTTTACACAGGAATCCTTTACAAATTTGAGGCAATATCAGGCGAAGTTGGCCTCGAAGCTACGTTTGGAAAAAGGTGCCATTCCAACAATGAGGGACTTGCCTGAAATTGAAACGGTAAGACTGTGTTTTTATTACTCTACTGTGTGTAACAAACAGCAGCTAACTACTAATGCGGCTATTGTATGTAACGTTAGCTTCGAGGTAAACACGGGGAATGGACTCTACGAATGCTAGCCACATCTTTCCACTTGATGTAGACGTCCTTCCATTGACTCTATATCTTCCGTTTCCAGCTCTGGTTCAGAGTCTGGCTCAAACATATATGGTTGAATTCCGTAGGTCGCGGCCAGGTCGGGTTCATTCACAACTTGCGCCATGATGTCATTTTGGAATGATATGCTGAAGTTACCTGCGGTGTCACGCCCCATCCTTCCTGCCACCAATCAACGCGCCCCTCATTTGCATTATTAAAATGACCGTCCACGACAGCCAAAATATCGCATCAGATCTCGCGAGACAATAATGCATTCAGAAATAAGGGTCAGAGGAGCTCTGTGTTTATTTTTTTTCCACTTTTCTTTTTTAGAAGGGCCTGAAAGACTATAATAGAGCGTGGGTATCCAAGGTAATACTAGGTTATGACTCCTTTAAAGTTAAAGAATCTTCCATGTAATCACAATGGCTTAATTAAATCTGCCATGCATTGCTTTCATGTTAATGAACAGCTGTTTATATTGATTGAGAGGCGTTTTAAAGTTTACTGTGTGTGTGTGTGTGTGTGTGTGTGTGTGTGTGTGTGTGTGTGTGTGTGTGTGTGTGTGTGTGTGTGTGTGTGTGTGTGTGTGTGTGTGTGTGTGTGTGTGTGTGTGTGTGTGTGTGTGTGTGTGTGTGTGTGTGTGTGTGTGTGTGTGTGTGTGTGTGTGTGTGTGTGTGTGTGTGTGTGTGTGTGTGTGTGTGTGTGTGTGTGATTGATCGAGACGCTGTCGGATACGAAGCATCTGCTGGCTTTGGCACGGGGTCTGCTCTCGCTCATCTTAAAGTGTAAACATCTCACGAGTGCACAAGCTGCTTTGGGTGTTGCTTACTGTAGCAACTTGATCACAGAAAATCTCTTGGGTTTATTTTCTGTGTTTTGGATGCGTGTCAAACTTTTGGATATGTGCAGTGTAAATGCATTTAATGATTTAATCTCCTATAAAAAAACGTTGACATCCTTGGAAACTAAATTAGGGTGCAGCATTAATGTTTATTAAACTTATACGTAAATAATAAGAAGTGTTGGTTAGTAGGACTGGAAATTGACCAAGCGGCAACCTTCCCTTCTCTCTCTTGAATCCAACACTGAAGTGACTTAAACTGCAGTTCATCGTCTGGCCACTAGAGACCGGCTCCAAAAGAGAGTCAGCTTAGAAGCAAATCTCCTAGAAGTGGTTAGGGATGCAACGATTACAGATTTTGTAAGTACGATTATTGTCTGAGAAATAATCACGATTTAACGATTATCACGATTATTATGCATCAATTAATGAACACAACACTACTAATGTATAATATCACATGAACACTCAGCACTAGATTTTAATGTGTTATTTATTGCTGCCACAACACAGTACAAAATTATCAAATGACAAACAATAATCAATCTCTTCCTTTGGAATTAAAGAGAAGTGCTTTGTACACATCCAGCATTTTCTTTTAAAAATAACAAATTAAGTCAAAGGCTGCAGGGCTCTTTGATTGAAATAGATCACAAAATTATTAAGTGTTTAGTTTGTTCTAAATTTATTTTCAACCTGAGGTAGAAAACTTGAAAACATGAAAACAATATCTTGTTGGTATTTGACATAAAACATAAATAATACTAATAAATCCCAATGAGAATAAGAATAAACAAAGTATTTGGCTCTATTGAATTAAATGCAAGCTAAATATTAGGCCTATGTATTTCTTTTAAAAGAAAACAAATATAGGCCAAATGTTATCCACCAAAATTATTGTACTTATTTTAATACTCTTTTTTTAATTATTAATCCAAATTTTACATGTGCCTTTAGAAAATCATCTAGCCTATTATAATCTCATTATTTTGGTTTGTTTGTTTGAAGTTTGAGTAAAAATGATAGAAAGAAACTGAGAACATCTCTCATGCAGTGTTATTAATAACTGAAATGCAGTTAATTGGTAGTCCTAGAAGTCTACACGGCCCTGATCTTATGTTAGTGTTTTACACCGGGCATATTACAACTACAAAGCCTAACATTTACTCAACACAGACAGGAGAAAGCAATAGGATATTAAGTTAAATGTTCACTGACTGAAACTCTTGAGAGCACGTCACATTCGGTTTTCCACAGACTTGCGTAACCAAAACATTCCGCTGGTTTTTTCTTGTTGTTTTTTTTACGTTGCACTGAAAGCTGAAAGTTGCACGCCGCGTTCTCCTTTTTCCCTAGCGCTAGGGCGGTTGCGCTCCGGAGGCGTTTGTCGTTGCTCTGTTGGTTCATGTCACTTGACCCACGGTGCGCTTGCGGCATTCTGAAAAGTTGAGATGTTTTTATCTCGATGCAGCGCGGACGCGCTTGGAAAAAACGAGCGTGTCGCTTCCATTATGAGCGCGCATACATTTGAAATGAACTTGAGCGCGCAAAAGACGCGATCTGTGAACAGGCCCTTAAGGCGTTTTTTCGGTGGAAATAGAGCGTCGCTGCTTAGTCCCTCTGCCATAGTGGTTGACGAGCACGGCACTTTAAGCTGGTGCACCGCTGGTGTAACTTTGTTTTCATTTTGTGTTAGGTGCAAAAGTTCCATACTTTGCAGAACACTCGGTGTAGCATAGTCTTTACGATTAATTAACCGTGACGTTTTAAAGCGCGGTTAATTGTGAAATCCGGTAATCGCTGCATCCCTAGAAGTGGTAAATGCCTCACTTCTTTCTGGGAGTTTTCCAAACTCCCTGAAAACTGCAGTTGTCAAGCCCCTCCTGAAAAAGAGCAATCTGGATAAGACCATCTTAAGCAATTATAGACCGAACTCAAATCTTCCTTTCATAGGCAAGATCATTGAAAAAGTTGTCTTCAATCAGCTGAACAAATTCCTAAGCTTGAATGGATACTTTGACAATTTTCAATCTGGTTTCCGATCGCATCACAGCACAGAGCTCATAAAGATAATAAACGATATTCGCTTAAATACTGATTCAGGCAAATTATCAGTGCTGGTACTACTCGACCTAAGTGCTGCATTTGACACTGTCGATCACGACATACTTCTTGACAGGCTGGAAAACTGGGTGGGGCTTTCTGGGATAGTCCTAAAATGGTTCAGGTCATACTTAGAAGGGAGAGGTTATTATGTGAGTATAGGAGACCATAAGTCTGAGTGGACACCCATGACATGCGGAGTCCCTCAAGGCTCAATTCTTGCGCCACTCCTATTCAACCTATATATGCTCCCAATGAGCCAAATAATGAGAAAGAACCGAATCTCTTACCAGCTATGCAGACGACACACAGATCTACTTAGCCCTATCGCCTAACGACTACAGCCCCATTGACTCCCTGTGCCAATGCATTGATGAAGTCAACGGTTGGATGTGCCAAAACTTTCTTCAGTTAAACAAAGACAAAACTGAAGTCATTGCGTTTGGAAACAAAGATGAAGTTCTCAAGGTGAATGCATACCTTGACGCTAGGGGTCTAACAACTAAAAATCAAGTCAGGAATCTTGGTGTTGGTGTGTCTCTAGAGTCAGACCTTAGTTTCAGTAGTCATGTCAAAGCCATAACTAAATCAGCATACTATCATTTGAAAAATATTGCAAGAATTAGATGCTTTGTTTCCAGTCAAGACTTAGAGAAACTTGTGCATGCTTTCATCACCAGCAGGGTGGATTATTGTAATGGACTCCTCACTGGCCTTCCAAAAAAGACCATAAGACAGTTGCAGCTCATACAGAACGCTGCTGCCAGGATTCTGAGCAGAACCAGAAAATATGAACATATCACACCAGTCCTCAGGTCTTTACACTGGCTCCCAGTTACATTTAGGATTGATTTTAAAGTATTATTACTGGTATATAAATCATTCAATGGGCTAGGACCTCAATATATTGCAGATATGCTCACTGAATATAAACCCAACAGATCACTCAGATCATTAGGATCACATCAGCTAGAAATACCAAGGGTTCACTCTAAGCATGGAGAGTCTGCTTTTAGCTACTATGCCAGCCGCAGCTGGAACCAGCTTCCAGAGGAGATCAGATGTGCTCCTACAGTCACATTCAAATCCAGACTCAAAACACATCTGTTTAGCTGTGCATTTACTGAATGAGCACTGTGCCAATGTTCGTCCGACTGTTTTTACTGTACTTTATTTTATTTTTTATTCTAAACTGTTTTAATTATTTCCTCCTATGTAAAGCACTTTGAATTACCATTGTGTATGAAATGTGCTATATAAATAAACTTGCCTTGCCTATATATAACTCTAAAATAAATTATATTAAAGTAACACCAGGTAACTTTTCAACCTTCATAATATACTTCCACGTCTCTTGTGATGGTACATCGACTTACAATAGGTTGACTGACACGTCTGCCATAGCCTGACGGGGTCTGTAGCGTTTTTAATCGTACTTGTAAACTTCGGGTTTCGGGTAGTAACCGGCGAACAAAGAGAACTACAAAATTCGACCGCTTTACGGCATATACGTCACTTCCACCACCACCCCCACTTCATTAAAATCGGACGTGCGAGCCAAATGTTATAGTCATGGCCGAAGCAGCACAGAAAAACAAGAAAGCAAAGGTTTTATCGGAGCAAAGCAAAAAGAGAAAGTGATCACGTTAAAGGCAGAACGAGGATCAACATTAGGCCAGCATTTTCTCGCTGGCGTGAGCTGAAGGAGGAGGAGAGGTGTCCGACCGATGCGGACTTGGCAAAAAAGATCAAAAATCAAATGAAAGCCTATGTCTAAATGGCGTGCACAAGTTTGGTAGGGTCTACATTCTTGCAAGTAAATATATAAGATGTACAAAATCATATTTTAGGATACCTAACATGTCTGTGATATTTGTTTATTTGTCTTGCCTCAAGCTATAATGCAAATCGATTTGTAAAATTTGCAAATTCATTTATGGTAGCTTGATATTATAATATTGACGATATATGGTTATTATCTACCACTCAAACATTGCATTAGAGTATCATATAGATCCAGTAAAACGGTAACCAATAAACTAGGCTACTATAATGACGCTGGCTTGTAAACGTGATCATCCCGATCATTTGTCGTTAGAAAAAAAAATAAAACCCATGAAATTATATTCATATGACATGCTGAAATATATGCCTCTGTACCTGGGATGAAGACATTTCAGACAAGACGCAAGCAGAACACCTGCATGTGACCTCCTCCTACAGTGTTCAGGGCTATCATGGTTTTCTACAATTGCACGTGCATGTAGGATGACAGAGTTTACGACAGTAGTAGAGGTCTAGAGGACAATACTGTTTCCCAACTGTAGGGGGACCCCACCCCGAGAGCAAAAGTTCCCTGGTGTTACTTTAAGCCTTAAATTCTGCATAATTAAGGGCGTGGCCACTTGAGTGATAGGTGGATTGCCGCTGACTACTAGCCATTTGTCTGCTCTCTGTTAGCGTCACCTCAGCTAATTCGCCTCGCTGCACATTTTAGGACAATTCTAAGGGCCCACACACTTTTGGGGCCCCCAGAGATTGATTTTGTTAATGCGATGGGGGCCCAACCTCATATTCTTTCATAGGACCCAACATTTCTAGCGGCGCCCCAATCGAGTGACGCGCTGCCGAGATGGCGACGGCCGGCTCCGCCCACTTTGGGCTTCAAAAAGGCTCTTCAAAAACATTCACGTCACAGACACTACGTCCATATTTTTTTACAGTCTATAATTTTACTGTATCAATCTCATCAAAGTTGACAGTCTTCTCGACATGAACAACACAAACCAAACTCTTCCAGTCTCAGATACAACTACAGTGTTTGAGGGCGGGGTTAAGGAGATGCTGTTCAGCCAATCAAGACCAGAGGCTGGCATTATACAAATGTGAGAGTGTGAGGGTGCTGCTGCTGTTGTTGTTGATGTGAATTTAACCAATTTGCCAAGCTATAATAAATGATCTGGGGGGTATTTTGAGCTGAAATTTCACAGACACATTCTGGGGACACCATAGATTTATATTACATCTTGTGGAAAGGGGCATAATATGTCACCTTGAGTTAAGAACCAGTGGTGGAATGTAACGAAGTACAAACACTTCGTTACTTTACTTAAGAACATTTTTCACGTATCTTTACTTTACTTAAGTAGAATCAATAGTGCATACTTATTACTTTTACTTCGTTACATTTTGCAGCAATTATTACACTTTCTACTCCACTACATTTCTACAATGTTCTGTTACATTTTCGTTACATTTTCTGATCAGTTTTCCCCTGCCAAAACGTCATCCTGACCGTCCGTTCATCGCACGTTTCTGTCTCACCAGTGAAGTTTGGTTGCCATATCAACCCGGTCACACTAAATGCGTCTCTATAGCACGCAGTGTGTTTATCGTGCAATTTATATGCGAAAATTTGTTTAATGTGCATAGGATACGCATGGGTAGGTTAGGGTAGATTTAGTAGTGGTGTGGGGTGCGTGTGTATTCTACGTTTGGTTAGGATTAGTATGGCAAGCCAAGAGGTTCAGAATTACGCCATAAATTAATCGCGTTTACAGCCAGACCCCGTCACATTAAGCTTGATGTGATGTATATTGCCTAATTGCAAGCTTGTTCAGAAATGGTGACAGAAACTTAAAAAATAACGGCTTTCCCATCATTATTGAACATCATAATATAGGAGTATTAGGTTGAATGAGTTAGGAGGATTAACTGTTTTATTAATCATTAGAATATAGACATTAAGAGAATAAATTGTTATCCAAGTACTTTTACTTTTAATACTTAAAGTACATTTAAAATCAGGTTCTTTTTACTTAAGTAGGGTTGTCATTGTGATACTTCTACTTTCACTAAAGTAAATATGTCTCTGGTTATATGAACTTTTACTTAAGTACTGAGATTCAGTACTTCCTCCACCACTGTTAAGAACACACATGTATACGGGCTAGTGTGCGAGTGCTGCTGTGAATTGAATAACCAGCTTGTGTGATTGTGTTTCCCTGTTTAGTGGACACTCTGAGCGTTCGCTCGGTTCCAGACGGTGACGTCTCTCTGCAGCTCGGCGCTCCTCTCAGCCTCACCTGTCAGGTAGGCTTGCTACGATAGTCGGTGTTGAAGGTGTAACCAGTGTTCAGAAGCAAATGTAAAGCGAAATGTAAAAGCGCTTATTTAAGCGAATTTGCCATTGTGTACTGTTTTGGTGTTGTGTTTTTCATTAAGAATAATAGGCTAATGAACTCACCATTCAAGCAATCCGCCCCTGAATTGGTGCTAATTTAAAAACGAAACTAAAATGCGCACGGGCGTTCATATGGTGCGTGTCCACAGGTACAGAGCGAGCGTTTTCAGTTCATTCCTATGGTAGTAATTAATAGAAAACGCTCGCCCTGCTCCGCACCATTATGAATACCCGTGCGGACATGCGCATTTTAATTTCGCTTTCGAAATTAGCGATTTAACCCTCTGGTGAAAAATTTAGGGTTGGGTATCGTTTGAATTTGAACGATTCCAATTCCTTGTTTTGATTCCGGTTCCTAACGATTCTCGATTCCGATTCTTTTAAGAGGCGGGGTCAAAAAAGTTAAGGATATTTTAAATGAGCTAGCTAACCAACAGTCTTTCTGAAGGACATAGTCTGACCTTCTCCATCAATTTTAATTCTATGAACTTTTAACTTTTTATGAACTTTACTATGAATTTCTCACAGGGCTGTTTTCAACTACAATATAAATATCAAATCAATGAACTTGAATATAAATATTATAAATTATGAATATATTTTAACAGGGGTACACTTTCCTCAAGAGAGCTTTATTTTTGAAAACCTCATGAAAACACATTTACACATGAGTGTATGATGCTGCAGATACTTGAACATGTTACCGTGCTCCCACTGAAGGGCTAACCTAGGGCTGTCAAAATTTCTCAAAAATGACGTTCGAATATTCCCTCTAAAGAAACCACATATATTCGAACTATTCGAACATCTGGTTGCGCATTTTGTCAATGACGCGCATTACGTCAATAACAGGACAAATTAATACAAAGAGACATAACTACTTGTATAGGTAGTTTAAGTTTAAACATATTTGACAACGTATTAACTTACACAAAAACAAGTAAATCAACTAATGGCCAAGAACGCAGACCTCACTCTCGCTCAACCGCAGGCTCTCTCTCTCGCCCTCACGCTCTCTGCGCATAACGGTTTAAATGAACAACAATAAACAAATGTTGAGTGCTGGATCAAGAGTTTTGTGCAAGCAATTTAAGGTCACGACTCTTGTCCTAAATATAGCAGGCTTCATTCAGTGATTGAAACAAATATTATTAACATTAATTGAAGTTTTACAGTAAATATAACCGACATTGAACGCTCCGAGCAAGCTGTGGTAAACTGCTGCTATAATGGCTATTTTTTCGGGGGCGTCGGGCCACGCCCCCTTGGCGGGCTCTGACGTGTATGATGTAATGCTAGCTCATTGGCGCACACGTTGGAGGCGCCCCCACCATTGGATGTGCAGTTGCCGCAGCACAGCCAATGAGTGAGCCAGACACTCACAGTGCTAGCTGTGCAGCTGGAAAATGCGTTTTGCCACTCGCAAAGCAGACAGCCGCGCTTCTGCTACCGCGGGCGTGTCCGGTCGGCGGATTGTGAATCGAAACTAGGAATCGAAATTTAAACTTTTGAACGATTCCGGGAAAATCGAAAAGCTAGTCCCGGTTCCAATCGATACTCGATACCCAAGCCTAACGAGATTTGGTAAAGGTTTTGGCACTTGCCGTATAAACACACAAAACTAAATCATGGACATGATACAAACCGGTTAAATGGTCCTTAATAAAATAGTCACACTTGTACTCTTCGTGGTCAACAATGAGCGCATAGGAAATGAATGGGAGACTAACTTCACCTAGTGGGAACTTTTGGTACTGCGGTCAAATAAAATCTTACTGAAAGCAAATCTTTTGAGATTTGAGTTGTTTTAACTTTTAACTTGTTTAGCTTTATGGTTTTGATTTTCTCACAGTTTTAGAGTAAAACATAAAAATTGAAAATGGCATTTTTGCACATTTTACATAACAATAAACTGAAAATTGTTACTTTTTTTTTACGTTCACTTTTTAAAACTTTTTTCACTTCAGCAACAATCTGCCAAGTGTCGTCTTTGAAAAGAGGTCAAACTTAAGTCTGTTGCTTAAAGCATTAAAATTCACGACAGTTTAAGTTGGAAATGTAATTTTCAGGTCTATGCTCAAAAAGTGAATAAATGGAGTTTAAATGCAGTGAAAATATAATTTAGTACCCTAAAAATACAAAAATATGAAATAAAAAACATTATCAAACTAAAATATATTACATTAATTGCATTGAAAAACCATTTTTGACCGTTAGCGAAGAGCACCACAGCGTAATACCCGCCGGTGATACCAGTATTACAGGTGTTGTGACTCTTCGATTAACCGGTGGGATTATATCTTGTATCCTGTCAGGTGACTGGCGTGGGCGCGTGGAACCGCTCGGCGCTGCTGGTTCAGTGGATGCGGCGCGGGCCGACGGGTGGCGTGGAGGTGGAGGTGTCTCGCTTGGGACCCGACGGCGTGGTCACATGGGGCGATGATGTCAGCAGAGCGGGGGGCGGCAGTATGGAGAAGGAGGCTGATGGGAAGTTTTCTCTGCGCCTGTTCTCCGTTCACCCCGCTGACGCCGGACTCTACCGGTGCGCCGTGAGCGTCTACGCCGGGAGGCTAACGCCGGGCCCGTCGAGTCCCGCAACGATCACGCAGAGATCGGACTGGGTCACTGTGAGCCTGAAGACTGACGGTGGGTGTTTGTTTGTTGTTGTTTTGTGAGTGAAGTCATAAAATGTTTACTTTTTTCAATTCGTTTTCCTTTAATCATTTTGGATTTTTCACTTCTGTAAATCAGAACTCAATTAACTTGCATCATCACTTAAGAATAACTGTTTTAATACTATTTTTTGGTATTGAAATATATGAAAGCTTGTTTCCGCCTCAGAATAAAACATTTTAAAAGATATTTAAGACTTTTTATCTCACAATTGCGAGTTTACATCTTGCAATTCTGACTTTTTTCCTCATAATTATGAGTTTATATCTTACTATTCTGACTTTATAACACAATTGTAACTTTATATCACGCAATTCTGAGATAAAAAGTCAGAATGTGAGAAAACAAGTCAGAAATGTGAGATATACACTCGCAATTGTGAGATAAAAAGTCTCTATTTTTTTTGTGTGGCGGAAACAAGCTTTGATAGAAATGCATATAGAGGAAATTATTATTAAATGTTATTCCTTGTGTTCATTTAGTGAAAAGCAGTGTGGAGAAACATGCCTTGATTATTTGTAACTAGACATTTGCTGTATTTCACTTCATGCATTAATTAGAGCAAATACATCAATACTGATAAATACACTATTGTTCTAAAAATTTGAGGTTTTTAATGAAATTAATACTTTTATTCAGAAAAGACACATTAAATTGATCAAAAGTGACAGTAAAGACATTTATAATGTTACAAAAGATTCTATTACAAATAAATGCTGTTCTTTTAAACTTAATATTCAAAGAAGCCTGAAAAATAAAAATGAAACTGTTTGATAATAATCATAAATGTTTCTTGAGCATCAGATCATCATATTAGAGTGATTTCTGATGGATCATGTGACACTGAAGACTGGAGTAATGATGCTGAAAATTCAACAGGAATAAATTACATTTCACAATATATTCACATAGAAAACGGCTATTTTGAATCATAATAATATTTCAAAATTTTTACTGTATTTTTGATCAAATAAATGCAGTCTTGGTGGGCAGATCGATATTGATATCTATCGATTCATAATGCTAAACAAAATGCACAAAAATCATTTTTTTTTTATTTTAGGCTGACTTTTGACTCAGACTTATTTCCATGAGATTCACCGTACGCCGTGCTGAGAGTTTATCATGCTGTGTTTGTGTGTTTATGCCCCGGTTCAGATGTGCGTGTGTCTGCCAGCGTCGATCTTCCCCGTCGCCCGCTCCTGAGACGCGGCAGTACGATCACGATGCTCTGCAACGTCTCTGTGGAAACTAGCGCTTCTTCACAAGTGGAGGTGCAGTGGCTTCAGAAGCCCGAGGAGCCGGCGAGGAAAGACGTCACGTTTTCCAAGGACGCCACAGGAAAACTCATAGCAACCCTGAGCTACGACGGGCTCACGCGCATCTACAGCAACGCTAGCGATCTGAGCGCCGACCGCGTGTCTGCCACGAGCTACAGGCTAAGGATCTTCTCGGCGCGTGAAGAGGATCAGGGGCACTATCAGTGTCAAGCCGAGGTTTGGTCGCAGGATCCGCGCGGCGGGTGGTATAACACGGGTGCGAGAGCAGAGTCCGAGACCGTACACCTGTACCTGTATGCCCGAGGTGAGTGTGATCCGTTTCATTAGATCGAATTTGCTCTATACAGGAATCGCCTGTATGTCAGATAGGGATGTGACGGTGAGGATTTTTTCACACCGGTTAATCGACGTGTTACAACACCGGTAATAGCGGTATCACCGGCGGGGGCTTTTAAATCTCTAATTTAAAGGCACATGTAAAATGCGCGCGTTTGCACGGGCATGCATAATGGTGGTCGTGCGGAGCAACACTGTTTTGTTATTGTGCGCTGAATTGCCGCTCATTTGAAAACGAAACACATTTTTTTTACATCGCGGTGCTACTGCAGCAGTGTGCACTTCACTGTCACTTATACATTAGCGTCAATTCATCCTTCGCAGGGAGTTTGATGTGATCTGACAAATCAAAATCCACCATTTTTGTCCGACAAAGCAGTCAGGAGAGTAGTCTAGATTAGTAGACTAACGTCGGTGGATTTGAACTTGTCTTTAACTGAGGCAATCTCTCACGACACAGAGCCACAAAACGGTAGGCCTATTGTTTAATTTTCTTTGACTGACCAAATTTGAAAGTTGAGACTTTGTTTCATATTAAATATTACCTGCTCGGTCCTGTCTGTCAGCACGTTGTCAGTGTCCTCATAGGCTACGTGAGTTGCACGTATAAAATTAAGTTAACGAATAGAGATGCACCGATTACAATTTTCTAGGCCGATTCCGATTTCCGATTTTTCTTGAGTTTGACCTGCCGATGCCGATTTTAGCCGATTCCGATTTCCTTTTTTTAAACCACTTTACAGCACACACAAATATTTATTTTCTATCTTCTCTCTAATAGAACATTTTGCATAGAACATTTTTTTTAACAGATAATCATTATAAAATAGGACTATATAAATTACTCCTGGTGTGGGAAATCCACACACATCTAAAGTGCAGTGTTATGGAAGAACCATTTCCTTTTCACATCCAATATCCAACTAAAAAAAATTGATATATTTAGCATACTAAACTTCTGTATGAAAACAGGTAATGGCAATAAAATAATATATAAATAACAAATAAAAATAAAATAAATATAGCCTACCCTTGCAGTATATATCTCAACACACACACACACACACACACACACACACACACACACACACACACACACACACACACACACACACACACACACACACACACACACACACACACACACACACACACACACACATTGCCTATTCCAATCACTTGTACATCAATGGCAAGTTATATTTCTCAAACAGTTCTTCTCTCATCTGACACATGTCCAGCCAGGCTAAACAGGACAAGTGGAGCATGTGCAGGGAAACAATTGGGAATAAAAACAAGTTATTTTCTATAAATATTTTTGAGTCTTAATTTTCTTTTCTGACATAGCCTGGCTACTTCAGTTCTTGTTAAAACACACCAGACGTGCAAATTCTGTGCATTTTGGGCACTTTTGGGGTGAAATCATATTTATTTTGTCCATCAAAAGTATGCTTTCACTTTAATTGAGCGCGAGCAGAATAGACTCGGCGCTGAAACCCGCGCTTCACTGTTGCTCACGCGACGCTCCTGCTCGACGCTCACGCGCTGCTCCGGCTCCCGGTGTGAATGCACTCACTGATTAACATGCACGCCGAAGAAAAAAAAACCCCGCTGCTCACGCTTGCGGTGTGAAACGGTCGTAATTCATTCACGAGGTTTCCTACATGTGTGTTCCGTGTGCACGTGTGATGCTGATGTTGCGCGATGTTAATCATGCGGCGCCCGAGTGCATTTGACCTGCATAAAATCGGCTTGTCAGACTGACCGGCCGGTCGCCGATCATGGCCGATCACGTGAAAATCGGCCGATTCCGGACACCAGCCGATCAATCGGTGCATCTCTATTAACGAACAACCTCGATCCATCAGGAAACGCCAGGTCGCTGAATTTCATTGCGCTTCATGAAGAGTTTTTCTTTTGCGTGAAGAAGCCGTTCACCGGAGATGTGTTAAAGATAGCAGTGTGCATTCATGATTATTAGGCTACCGGTTTGATAATCCTCCTGGCTCCGGGTCTTAGTGAGTCATTTACTCTCTTACCTATGTTTTTTGATTTACTTTAATGACACTTTAAGACCAGCTGCTGACAGAGACGCGATCGACACGCGTCCCATTTTCTCACAAATCTCTACGTTAATTTAAGACTTTATTTAAATCATTTAAGACTGCTCTTATGAGGACACTCGTCAAAACTGACGTTTTGGCATAATTTGTGTGTGTTATGGTTTGTTCAAGCCCGAGAGAGAACTCGATACTGACGCGCGTCTTTTCTGTGGGTCGCACGCGTGTGTGTGTGTGTGTGTGTAGGCAGGACAGCGCGGTCTCTTTAGTCTTGCCGCACTTAATATCATTCACATTAATAAGAGCGTGATCATACAACGGTAGTCAGTGGGTGACAGAAAAAAACGGATAGCCTACTGCGTAATTGCGTTAAATATATAAATATATGCCTATATTTCTATTTTTTTATTTTTTTTGCGGTGTCGCGGTGGACAAGTGATGAAACCGGTGTTGCGCCTGAACACCGTGTAACACCGACTACCGTAGCAAGCCTAGTGTCAGAATGTGCAGAAGTTTTCAAGTTCGTTCCTCATAGTGTGCTTGCATGATCTGGTGAACTTAAAGACTCATTGATAGGGATGGGCGATAGATAATATCGTTTTCGACACCAGATATAATTTTTCATATAGTGTGTGCCGGACACTAGTTAATTTATGTAAGTGAGGAGAGCAAAATAAAGTAAACTGGCATATGATACCTTCATACAGTGACTACCAGTGACATTTATACGAATTTGGGACCAACATTTATTCCTCCACTTTGAGCTGATCATGTTTTCTTCAGTGTGTTTTCTGTAATTGCTAATGCTCTTTTTACACACACACTGAACAACATGAAGCATTGCTTGGTCACTGGTTGAGCTAAACTGGTATTATCTAATTGTGTCGTTAAATTTAACAGCTGACAGATATTCAACATAATTCATGTGTGAGAGTCTAACAGAAGGACGGACAAAACCAGTCAAATATCAACTCATTTAATAACTCTTGCCATATTTTATTACCATTTTCTAAACTGTGATACTGTGAGAGATGGTGAATAATGCTGGTTTGACTGTATTTATTCAACTAAATCGCAGCCTTTATGATCTCACAATAGCACAATGCTATATTATGGTTTTAAATATATTGCGTAGCCTTAGAAAACGGTGTAATATTGCGGCTCATGGATTCTGGTCCGTGGATCGCGCCACTTCTGGTGTTTTGCCGATTACTCGACACGGGTAATGCCTAGTTCACACTACAGGATTTTACACGGGTAAATCGCAATCGAGGATTTTTTCAAATCGAGTACTCGTCTTTAATCGTGAGTGACAGGCCTAGTGTGCTTGATGGATCTGGTGAACTGAAAGACTGATCATTGATGTGTTCTTCTCCCCAGTTGCTGATCTGCTGCTCATTCCCCTCGTGGTCGGCGTGGCGTCGGCGCTGTTCGTGGGCGCACTGATTATTGCAACGGTGACGTGTTGCTTCATGAAGAGACTGGCTAGACAGCACTCTCGCATAAGGAAGTAGGACGTATGAGACCCTCATGGAAAACCAGTGAGAACATTCAAAGACTTGATTGGAGCAAAGAAAAACTGGTTTAAGGTATTTCGGCAGTCTTGACGTAATGTGCACTGCACTCACAATTGGAAACGGCATCAGAACGATACTGAACATGTACTGGATGCTCATGTTATATTAATCCATATGTGGATGGTAACATATACACAAATGCATGTAGATTCACTTCAAGCTGTGACATTGTGTTCTGCACTGTTTCTATTCGCTCTAAGGACGTCACATGGTGGATGTAAATAAACCACTCGCTCGGTTTAAACTAGAACATGAATGCAGTTTTGGAGAACTAGCAGAACCACTTATAATAATAAACACACTGAAATCACTCACTGTTTTTACAGTGCTATAACATGTGCTCATATTTCTGTTACCTGTTAGTATAAAATACTTTTTATGGTATGCCATAGTTTTTCACATTTTCACTTTTTGTATTCAAAAAGTGTATGAAATATATTGAATATACTGAGCAGTTCCAGTCAAATCATGGGAGCGAATTCCTGCCAATTGCACAGTAATGTGTTCTTAACGTAAGTTCATTCTTCTGTTCTACATTGTGAATGGTGAATTTTACAAAATTAAGAAATGTCCAGGTCATATTTGACTCCAAAATCGAAAGAAAAATAACTATATTTTTAGTTTTAATATAATTTTTTTGTGCAGAGTGTGCAACATATTTTTTATGGAAATTAAACCAATATAAAACAACAAATTAAAATAAATTTACAACCAAATGTCAAATTTCACAAATGTTCACATTTTTCCATAAATTCAATACAACAATTGTGGTGATTGTTGTACTAAAAACTTATAATTGTACTTAACAATTTTAATAATTCAACTTAATTGTAATTGTACTTAGAAAATATAAAATATAATTTTGGATTTTTTTTTTTTTTGCATTACAGTAATGAAAATTGTGGGAGAAAAGAATGTTTAAACAATGTGAAGAAGCTCTTAAAAATGTGCAGAACATCTTCAAAAGACATTTTCTTGGCATTTCTGTGAAATTCACCTGAATATACGAGTAATAACACGGGGCCCAATCAGCTCTGAGGAGTTCAGAGTGGCAGTTTCCCATGTTTACCTAAAAGGCTACAAAAATGAAATAACCACTTAGATAATTTATTGACACAAAACCACTTTACCTTATAAAGACACAGAACGGAGAGGAGAGACGCTCTGGAAACGAGGCTCTCCGCACACAACGATAAATGAGCTCGCCGAGAATCGAAATGCTGTAGATGTTTAGTAGTAACATTTTCCAGGATTTCCAACTGCACGTACAGGACCAAAGTGAGACCAGGACCAAATCTTGTATATTTGAAAATCATCCTGTTTCGTGCATCTACAAAAACGGGTGCCTTTTGTTGTCCATCATTAGCAATGAAATCAAGTTGTGTTTCCGGGCTAAACAATATTGTTCTGTTCTGTAAGTGAACTCTAGGATCAGCATATGTCTCAATATCTTATCTAAAATAGTCAAACCTGTGACTGTAATCAATTTTACATAGTTAAATATGTTTGAAAAATTGATGTTTTTAGAAATATGACCCACTCACCCTGTTTTAAAGGCATTGTTATAGAAGGACCCATTTGTTAAAATAGACACTGACTGTTTTTTTCTTTGTCTTTCGAAGGAATTGATAATAGGAGGGTTATTACAGATGCAGATTAGTCTTCATTTTCTCCATGCATTCACCAAAATATGGGTTTGTAAGCCTGCAGACGGTACGTTAGATAGATGAGAGATGTGTGTTATGGTTGTGATGTGATTCCTGCAGTTGCTCTCTGGGATTGGACTAATGTGAAAGCCACATTAACATCAGGGATTCTGTGTTTCTGCTTATTTACAGCGTTCAGTCGCTGAAATCTGATTTATCCTCTTATGCCACGTGACTAAACGCTGAATGACTGGATATTAATCCTCTTGTTTACGGGATGAAGCGTCTCGTGTCATGCGGACTTGATGCAATCGTCCCGTTTCAGACAGAAGACGTGTCGTTCTCTCTCCTCAGTTGTGCTGTTTTATGATTTCAATCGCAGCATTTATACGCCGTGATAAATTGTGCATGAATTGCGTTACACAAAACACTCCTCCTGTGCACTTCGGCTCAAATGTTGTTGGATGGGATGAAATGTTTGTTTGTTTTAGCTGGAAACGATCATGCTGAACGCCATCATTCGTTGTCTTACCTTTTTATATGCATTGCATAATAATATGCAGTAATGCTCATGTCTTGGTTTTGAAGCTGTAACTGTGTTTTCTTGCACTGCGTTTTGTAAGATTTTGTCGCCGGTGGTTTCATTGTCTGCTTCTGTTTTGTGTTGATGGTGCTTGAGGTTCCTGAATAAAACATGCCCTGATAAGAGATGTCACATTATTGTTTTTGCACACAGTTATGAACAGGGTTCCCACGGGTCCTTAAAATCATTGAAAGTTTGTGAATCTGAAAAAAAAAAAATCAAGGCCCTGGAAATGTTTTGAAAATAAACACGCATGGATTCACAGGTCCTTGAAAGTGCTTGAATTTATTTTGTGCAAGGAAATAAATTCCATATTATTCCCTCCGATCCGCTAATGTGTTATTTCACCAACACTTCGTGGCCTTTGCACACTAGCTTGCTTGATTTACGCTAGTTACGCGCATTTGCGCGTTACGTTTAGTGTTTCCCGCGTTAGGTACTTTGTGTTGTACGCTGCCCTGTAGGGCTGTCACTTTTGTGAAAAAATCCTGTTCGAATTTTGAGACATAAGTGTTCATTGAATCGATTTTCCATGTCTAAAGACGTTTCCATTTTCAACACCAAATACAGGCAAATCCACGGACACCTAACAGGCGTTAGGACGAGCGTAAAGAGGGCGCTTGAGACGCACAAGTCAGCAATATTCCTGATGATTTATTGGTGTGGAGTTTCGTCACAATGACAAACAGGAGCGCAACATTCAGGGATTGAGATTAACTCCCTCGAACCGCCAAATGCGGGTAAAAATGAACTTTGTCGGGAAACGCTGTCAAATCACGAGCCAATCTGGCGTGTTTCTGTGTTTACTCACTTTGCTGGGGAAGTTCGTGTAAGACAAATCTGCGCGGATTTAGCGCAAATACGCAACTCGTGATCCTCATGATATATTAAATACAGCGTATTACACAGAATCTGCGCATTTCTGGCTCACTGAACACACACACGTCACTACACAACAAATAACGGCGCGCTTGTTCACTTGCATTGAAGTAATAGCGAATATTAAAAAGTATTTGGTTAAAGGTGCAAAACGTAAGTCTCTGAGTTTTTGCAGAACTACGCCCCCTCTGGCGACAAGCGAAACTGCAACCAGAGTTGTGCACGCTCATAGACCACACACACACACACACACGCATGCACGAGCTGTTCATAACTAAAGGAGCATCAGCCGCACAGATCTTTGGTGTACAGCCAAAATGTCTTCAGAGGTAATAAAGTTATAAATCTGCAAGTCATTTCAAATATATGCAAGGAAAGGCATTTGAGTAAATTACTCTTATGTGTAAGGGGAAAACGGGGGTAGTAGAAAACTTTGTTTATGTGTTTACTGTTTCCACCTATGATAGTATTGTTATGAAAACACGTTCATGAACAATATAATTGATTACTTCGCAAAAGCTCAAAATAATAATCATACCGTACACGGTTGGTCAACAACGTTCACTCAAATGTCTCAAGGTAATAAACAATCAAATGTCACCATGACGTTTTCATAAAAGCCAAAACAGGCTAATCCGCCGAAGACTTGCGGGGTTCAGCCTGTTGTATTGATCTGCTAAGTAGAATATTCCAATAACAATACATCCTTTTTCTGTTATAATTTACTCAAAATATCTGTCTAATTATCTGTCATATTTTTCGGCATGTTATATCACACTCAAGAATCTTGAACTGTTTTGCTAATCACTAAACTACATGTAGCGCTGATTTATTTAGTAGATATTTTGATATATTCCTAGTTTATGAAACTGTTCACTAACAATGGTAGTAAAACCAATTCTGATTGTACATGTATCTAGCTTACGCTAAACTTAAAGAATTACACATTTTACTTATCGTCATTTGTTGTCATACATAGATTTGCCGTATCAGACATTAGAGACTGGGCTATATCTTACCGTTTTATCAAGAAAAAAGCCAACTGAGGATCCCGTTTGAGCCCTAGAGCAGACCGGAGATCTCTCCATTTGTTGAAAGCCTTCCCGATGTTGACTCTCGTCTTACTCCGACGCCTGTCTGACTCCAATTTGGACCTTTTGGTGGCACTAGACAAAAGTTTTCTTTTCTTTACTTTACGTGGAGTTTGGAATGGACTACAAGCCGGTCTCTTTGAATCCATCTTCTACCTTTGACGCACGAGTTGTCTTCGCTGATACGGAGAATGGCGGCGCCGGCGAATACACAAACCTGCCAGACATAGCCAGGTGAGCGTGAACACGCATGACGTCACGCCCAGTCTCAAACTCCGTCCCGAATCCCTCTTATATATTTTACTGTACAGGATTATAGAGGCAATCGCAGTGATCAGAGAAGGGCTCAATCAGCCCATCAGGCAGTTCTTTAAGCATGTATAGGATAGAAAAACAGGTATTTTTAACATGAAAAGTTGCGCAATGCACCTTTAACAGAAAAGACATTTTTATTTTCCAACATCCTACATGTTCTGTGTCCTGTATTCAGTGGCGGCTCCAGACAATTTTGATTGGGGGGGCAATGGGGGGTCCTGGTCATTTCAAGGGGGGTCTCATGAAAACCAACAAAAAATACAGTGGACACGGCTAATAACTGCATATTGCTGCTACTTAACAAATGGTAAATGGTAAATGGACTGCATTTATATAGCGCTTTCACAGACCCAATGGCCACCAAAGCGCTTTACATATTGCCTCACATTCACCCATTCACACACCGACGGTTTTTTGTTTTTAATTAATTAATCAATTGCAGTTTGCAAACAATATGCTCGAACTTTAATTGCCATAGCCACACCCATGACAGAAAACATATTTACAAAATAGTATCCTCCTCATCCTCCAATTCCTCGGTGTCCTCTGTTTCCAGTCTTTACTAAGAAATCCTATGAAAAATTATTTACAAAATCTTCTGCAGGACAGTTCAATTCTTTACAATAATATAATATATTATAAAAGAAAATTAAGCTGTTACACTGAGATGGTTTAGGAAAACCATAAAGTGTTTTTGTACAGTCAATTAATTGTACAGGCAGCATTAAACCATCAAAGTTAAATGATTGTTTATAGCTTATGAATTTCCTAGCCTGTATTTTCTTTAGCAGGGGGTTTCAAACTTTTTAATGGCAATGAGCCCTAAACAATACCCTTGTGAGATTCTTTATTTAGGCTTATAATATAATAAAATATATGCCCAATATAATATAATATAAAAAAATGAATTTAAGTATTTGAAGTGATAGTTTAAATGCTTCAATTTGTTTTCATATTATATTATTATAATATGAAAACAAACTGAAGCATTTACTGTAAATAGCTAGATCTAATAGCTAAATATTTTCAAGAAAAGTCAATATGTGAACTCTTTTATAGTAGCCTAATCTAACCATGCCTGAAACTATTTAAATCTATGTAAACTAATGATGTATTTTGAGTTTGCACGCGGGTGTGTGTGTAATTGTTACCGTTCTGTGTCCATCATCCGTTATTTCCACCACTTTAATCAAACCACTCTTCTTTAAAACATGATATTGTGATTTTATTTCACGTCTTTGCGTTTCTCGTCGCCTCTTGTATTGAGCTATTTGGTCCGCACACACGACTCACTGCCAATCACACGCGCTCACATCATTCTCTTTCTTTGAAACCTGTTAACTGCACTCACCAGTTTGAGCACTGCAATTATTTCTCACATACAATCAAATGGATTTCCCCACACATTTCGCGTCAGTCCTCCGCGTGGCATATTATTTTCTGCGCGGCCGCGGCATCAGAAGTGCACGACCGCGCACGCGCGCAGCTTAGAGGGAACGTGATTCTTATGTTTATATATTTTGTATGTCGAATAAATTATTAATTATTATTGTTCTGCGTGTTTGAAGATAAACATTTTTAAATATTTATCCCGGATATATATTTTTTTTAATCAGGAAGGGGGTGGGGGGTCAAAGCATTTTTTGGGAGGGTCTTGAGACCCCCCCTGGCGCCGCCTCTGCCTGTATTGATCTGTCCACCTAAAACACATTTTTTGTAAAAAATAAAATAAAAAAAAGGCCGTTAAAATCAATTCCCTATTTTCGTTTTCGAAACTTGTGTTGGTTGGTCCGATCGATTGTGCAATCGATTTCCGAACGTTAGGTGACAGCCCTACGTTCACGCGCACACAAAACTACTACGATGAAACCTCAATGTTTACTGTTGGACACAATAAGTGTGTCCCCACATTAAGTCCTTTAATTTGAGGGTATTGGATCTGGAAAGTCCTTGAAAGGTCTTTGAATTTGAAGTTAACCGAGGTGTGGGAACCCTGTATGAACTTCTAGGAAAGTTGCATGCGATCTAGTGTTAGAGTGTGTTTTGCACTCTTAAATTTGCATAGTATTCCAGTGCACCTTTGCAACCTCTCCATAACAACTGCTATAGCCGAACACTGGGAACATTTTTGAGATTTTTGCCAATTCCTTCAAGGTCGCACATAAACCGTTTATTTCTAAATGAGCTTCTGAAATTGTCATTTCTCAAAAAACAACAACATTACTCACTTATTCCGCATGCAAAATACAGGTGAAACTCGAAAGATTAGAATATGGTGCAAAAGTTCATTTATGTCAGTAATTCAACTTAAAAGGTGAAACTAATATATTATATAGACTCATTACATGCAAAGTGAGATATTTCAAGCCTTTATTTGTTATAATTTTGATGATTATGGTTTATAGCTTATGAAAACATTTTCACAATATTCTAATTTTGAATTTTCATAAGCTATAAGTCATAAACATCAAAATTATATACTGTCCCCCTTTACTTAACATGCACATAAATTGTAAGAATATGACTAATGCTGATAAATAAACAGTAGGTCTATGAGGTTAAGCTATTAAATAACAGTCCCAAACTATTTTTTGTTAATTCAATGTTGGTATGAGCCACCACTCATTTAAAAATATATAACACAAAGTGAAAATAGTGGCATTTTGGGGTTATGAAAACAACAGTTACCATGGTGATATACAATACTAATAAGAACTGTTAATGAAACATGGAAACTGCTCCTGATGAACAGAATAAACATCATACCTGATTTATTGGTATTTTAGTTTTATTTCGTGACTTACTAATTTACGATTGTACAGATTTTGCATTTTCAGAATACAATATAAATTCAGATATAAAATGAGTTGTATTTACTATGGTCCATAAGCTTAAACAGTACAATTTTAATAGTTAAAAAGAAAATTTTGTTTATAATGTGCATTAAAATATATACACACTCATCACATTTACAGAGAGGCTGATGTGCTTCATTAAGCATGAAATATGAATGTCATTTCAAGTATGTTATGTAATGTAACATATTTCATAATCCCTCACAAAGCACATGGTCATTACCAGAAGTAAATATTGATGCTGATGAAGTCGCTGTGATGATGTCACTGGTAATTACACGTCCATGATCGTGGCGTCACTAGCTCCCAGAAGCTCGTCTGTTTTGAGAAAAAGCAAACAAACTATGAACATGTTGTTAAATATGATTCATGGCGTTACTGTACTCTGAAGAGAGCGCAAACACAACATCTACACATTTCTATTTGCAGTGTTGTAGCCAATCACAGTGAAGCCTGTTGAGCGCATGAATGCAGTGTCCAATCAGAGCTTTTGATCTTGTGAAAGCTTTCATTATAACCATTGAAGTGTCGGAAGAAAAAAAAAGTTGTGTTTTTGTTCATTATTTTATTAGTGACTGGAAATGCAAGAATTGCTTGTTTTTAAAGGGACTGTTCAGTCAAAAATTAATATTTTCTTATAATTTGCACATCTTTGTTGTTTCAAACCCTGTTGACTTGCATAGAAATGGTGATTTACTCAAAGTGACCCTGCAGCGCCACCAAGTGGATGTTTCATTTTTTTAAATTACTATTTGTACCGTTCGTTTTACAATGGGTTTTTTTGACACCTTTATTCTGCTATCTCTTGTTATTTCATAACTTTATAACCCTTTGTTGTTCTTTATTTCTAAGCTGTCTTGCACCATCTGTCAGTGTGTTCTTCAGTTGGCTTAAACTAATCCTGGACAGAACTTAATCTTCACAGTCTTTGAGGGACATCTGCACTGTGAGCCTGTGTGATCCAACAGTGATCCGTTAATCAAAGCGCAAGTGTGAGTGTTTTTGTTGTGCGTTTGGGAGCTTTGGCCGTGTGAGGTGCTTAAAGATGGCCTGGGAATCCTGCTGTGATGCAGTGAAGTGGGTTCTGGTGTATGGAAGCTTATTTCTGCCACGGAATAAAAAAGGTAATTGACCTTTAACACAAAAAAGTTGGTTACTTTATTTTTTTAACAAAAAGAGCAGAGAAAAACGTACACCGAGAAAAAGTTGAAAAAAGAAAAAAGTCAGAATTTAAACTCTATTACGTGAAAATAAGTTTAAATTACAAGATGTAAACTCAGTTAATACGAGAAAATAAGTTTGAATTGCGAGATTTAAACTCAGTATTACGAGAAGAAAGTCAGAATTGCGAGACATAAACTCAGTATTATGAGAAAAAAGTCAGAATTGTGAGATGTAAATTTAGTATTACGAGAAAAAAGTCAGAATTGCGAGACATAAATTCAGTATTTCGAGAAAAAAAGTCAGAATTGCGAGACGTAAATTCAGTATTATGAGAAAAAAAGTCAGAATTGAGTATTATGAGAAAAAAAGTTAGAGTTGCGAGATGTAAATTCAGTATTACGAAAAGATTAGTCAGAATTGCGAGATTTAAAATCAGTATTATGAGGAAAAAAAGTCAGAATTCCGAGATGTAAACTCAGTATTGCGAGAAAATAAGTCAGAATTGCGAGATTTAAACTCAGTATTACAAGAAAAAAAGTCAGAATTGCGAGATGTAAATTCAGTATTATGAGAAAAAAAGTCAGAATTGAGTATTATGAGAAAAAAAGTTAGAATTGCGAGATGTAAACTCAGTATTACGAGAAAATAAGTTTGAATTGCGAGATGTAAACTCAGTATTACGAGAAAATATTACGTGAAAATAAGTTTGAATTGCGAGATGTAAATTCATTATTATGAGAAAAAAGTCAGAATTGCGAGATGTAAATTCAGTATTACGAGAAAAAAGTCAGAATTGCGAGACATAAATTCAGTATTACGAGAAAAAAAGTCAGAATTGCGAGACGTAAATTCAGTATTATGAGAAAAAAAGTCAGAATTGAGTATTATGAGAAAAAAAGTTAGTTGCGAGATGTAAATTCAGTATTACGAGAAAATTAGTCAGAATTGCGAGATTTAAACTCAGTATTACGAGAAAAAAGTCAGAATTGCGAGATTTAAACTCAGTATTACGAGAAGAAAGTCAGAATTGCGAGACATAAATTCAGTATTACGAGAAAAAAAGTCAGAATTGCGAGACGTAAATTCAGTATTATGAGAAAAAAAGTCAGAATTGAGTATTATGAGAAAAAAAGTTAGAATTGCAAGATGTAAATTCAGTATTACGAGAAAATTAGTCAGAATTGCGAGATTTAAACTCAGTATTATGAGAAAAAAAGTCAGAATTGCGAGATGTAAATTCAGTATTACGAGAAGAAAGTCAGAATTGCGAGATGTAAATTCAGTATTACGAGGGGAAAAAGTCAGAATTCAACTCAGTATTCGAGATGTAAACAGTATCACAAGAAAAAGTTACAATTGTGAGATGTAAACTCTGAATCGAGTAAAAAAAAAATCTGAGATAAAAAGATGCGATTTATCTTTGTGATTGTTTTTTATTCCATGGTGTATGCAATCCCCCACGCTGAGGAGTCTCACCCCAGTGCGCGGGCAGTGGATCTGCGCGTACCACTCCAGACAGTACAGGCACACGTGCACGCCCTGGCCGATGAACAGACACATCCACATGATGATGTTCCACACCGGGCTCTTCCGGCTGTCGTTCATGGCGAAGTTAAACACCACTGGAAAGGTACAACACACAAAATCACCACATTTCTGCCTGCTCTTTAACTCTTTAACTTGTCATTATGCTGTCTAGATATTTCATGTTGGACAAAATCTTAAGGCTGCAATGCATGCATGTATTAATTTAATTAATTAATTTACGGATGAGGAAATCCTAGAATGCTCTAAAATACAGTCAAACAAAAAATTATTAAAGCACCAGATATCATTTTTGATATTATTTTTTACTAGTGTGTGCAGGACACTAGTTCATTTATGTAAGTGAGGAGAGCAAAATAAAGTAAACTGTGACATATTATACCCAATAATTCTTCATACAGTGACTACTGTTAAAATGTATACAAATTTGGGACCAACATTTATTCCTCCACTTTGAGCTGATCATGTTTTCTTCAGTGCGTTTTCTGTAATTGCTAATGCTCTTTTTACACACAGACTGAACAACATGAAGCATTGCTTGGTCACTGGTTGAGCTAAACCGGTATTATCTAATTGTGTAGTTAAATTTAACAGCTGACAGATATTCAACATAATTCATGTGTGAGAGTCTAACAGAAGGACGGACAAAACCAGTCAAATATCAACTCATTTCATAACTTGTCATATTTTTTACCGTTTTCTGAACTATGTGTGATAATGTGAGAAACGTTGAAGGTGTCTGAATAAATTTTGGTTTGACTAAGTACAGCAAATACATACAAATAGTTGGTAACACTTTACAATAAGGTTCCATTTGTCAAAATGACCTTATTGTAAAGTGTTATCAATTAGTTAAACTTGCGTTCTTACCACCGATACCCGCGAATGTGCAGAACATCACCGGGTAGAAGAACCCGAAGCCCATAGTGAAGGCGTATTCATGAACTAATGCAGAAACGGCAAAGACACTCAGTGTGGCCATCGAGCGCAGTTTATAACCCGACAGCTGAGGGCATCGAGAGAGAGACATGGTCAGAATTATTCAAACGTGACATGTATATTAACAGTGAGATCAGAGCCCGTCTACGGAGAGCCTGGCCACTCCCTATTAAGTCCTATTGTACCGAATTGTGGTTGTAGTTCCACCAGAGCTCCACTAGGGGCGATCGCCCGAGTGCGTGAGTGAATGGGAGTCTATGGAGCTAGACGGCTAAATGTCTCTTTCACCCGATTGCCGTTGAGAAATCTCAGATTAGATTGTAGGTTTTGCAAGTTCAACATGGGTTATAGGTTGAAAGCTGAATGAACGAGTACTTATGTCCTTTCGATTTCTTCCAGGTTGAGTTGTTGTTGCCTATAACACGCTAATGAACGCCTGTTGGTCAGTGAAGGACTGATTACGACCAGAGACACCGCTTGATGGCATCGTGGCATCCGGACCAGAATGTTAAGAACTTTAGTTTTACAAAAACTCTTCAAGCACGTGTGTTTACCCGTGTCGGCTGTCTCGAGAGAACAGAAAGTGCAGAGCGCGAACGCACCAAAGTGACTGAAGGATTGCCGTAAAGCAGTATCTCTGGTCGTACGATGTGTATGACGACATTGACATTTTAAAGCAAATAAGTGACTCTAACACCCAACGTGTAATTTCTTTGCATCTCGTTTCGAATACAACATTCAAATTACTAGACAAAAAATGATATCCTGAGAAAAGTGGATTTTGAGGGGGATCGCTCCATAGACCTCCATTCATTCTGCACTCGTCCTGTGAGCGCCCCCATGTGGAGCAAGAGTGGAACTGCAGCCAGTTCAGGAGCCGGAAGTTCACTGAGAGTGGGAGTTCTCCCCTTATCAGACATTCTCTGGTGAGATTCAGGAGTGTTCGTTCTCACCCGGATGAAGTCTCTGTAGCCG